GTCTTGTGGTAGATGCGGTAGGCCTCTCAGCACCTCTCAGGCACGCAGTCCTCAGTCCCCCGGAGCTATGGAAGTGTTGGCTCTTAGCTGGGCCTCAGTCATCCCTGGGCGACCAGGAATAGTTTGATCCAGAAATGCAAACATGCAACCTTCCTTGCTTCGATTTGGCACGACTCTGAAGGACCACAGCAGCTCCAGAGAGCCCCCGAGGACCAGCCTTGCTTGTGATGGTCCAACGTTTTCCTTGGTCCCTACGTCCTTCCCACCCGCTGCATCTCCCCACATCACCCCCAGGCAATCTCCATGGTAACATGTTTCCTAGGGACCCAAGACAGATTTTCTGTCTTTGGGTAGGAAGCGGGTGACCTGTCCGATGTGCATTCTATAAAGAGATGCCGGGGGCCCCGCCAAGGGTGGACGGGATCTGGCCTCAGAGGAGGCCAAAGACTAGTGAGCATGAGAGAGAACAGAATGGCTGGAGGAGGATGAGGAGATGTGGGGGAGTAAACTCTAGATCCAAGTATCCTTGTCTCCATTGTTCCTTGCTGACCCCAAGGCATCTGGGGTTTTCTTTGAAAACCAAGTTTGAAGGGCTGGGGGAAGGTGCTGGGCTGGTCTGATTAGACGTGCGAGCCTGTTCGGAGTGAGGGTCAGGCTGGCATTGCCTGTGCTTATGTCCTTTGTCGGCCTTGTCCAAGTCTCCCCAACCATTCCCAGAGTTCAAGCTGCTGAGTCCAGAGGTCACTGCCCTTCATTTCGGAGCATGTAGCAGGCACTGAGTTTGTAGGGGAAGGGGGGGGGGGTGAGGTTCTTCCCCTGGCCCTGGCAGAACAGAAGGGCCTGGTGCTGGGGGCTGAGTGAATGGCTGGGGTCAGAGCAGTCATGAGGCTACCTTGGACTCAAGAAACTGGGGTGAGTAATAGGGGACACAGGACTCCTTGGCTCTAGGAAGCCAGAGCCTGGCGTGCAAACCTGCCAGTGAGCCAACGATGGGCATACTTATTTGACAGTGTCTGGGAAAGGTGCTAAGAGCCACAGGGTGACATGGCATCGGGTGTTAGCACAAGGGGCAACGGACAAGAGTCACCTCCGGGAGGGCCTGAGCGACAGCACAGCAGGGAGGGCATTTGCCTTGCACGTGGTGAACCTGAAATCCCATATGTTCCCCCGAGCACTGTCAGGAGCAATTCCTGAGTGCAGAGCCAGGAGTAACCCCTGAGCATCGCTGGGTGTGACTCCCCCCCAAAAAACCCTCCAAAAACAAGAAAGTCATCTCAGGGGCTGAAGCAATAGCACAGAGGGGAGGACACTTGCCTTGCATGTGGCCAACCCCAATTTGATTCCTTAAATCTCATATGGTCCCTCAAGCACCGCCAGGAGTAATTCCTGAGTGCAGAGCTAGGAATAACCTCTGAGCATTGCCAGGTGTGATCCCAAAAGCAAAAAGGAAGGAGGAGGAGGAAGAAGAGGAAGAAGAGGAAGAAGGAAGAAGGAAGAAGAAGAAGAAGAAGAAGAAGAAGAAGAAGAAGAAGAGGAGGAGGAGGAGGAGGAGGAGGAGGAGGAGGACAGGCTGGAAGAGGAGGAGGAGGTAAGAAGAAGAGGAAGAGAAAGAAGAAGAAGAAGAAGAAGAAGAAGAAGAAGAAGAAGAAGAAGAAGAAGAAGAAGAGGAAGAAGAAGAAGAAGAGGAAGAAGAAGAAGAAGAGGAAGAAGAAGAAGAAGAAGAAGAAGAAGAAGAAGAAGAAGAAGAAGAAGAAGAAGAAGAAGAAGAAGAGGAGGAGGAGGAGGAGGAGGAGGAGGAACAGGAGGGGGAGGAACAGGAGGGGGAGGAGGAGGAGGACAGGCTGGAGGAGGAGGAGGAGGTGAGAAGAAGAGGAAGAGGAGGAGGAGGAAGAAGAAGAGGAGGAAGAAGAAGAAGAAGAGGAAGAAGAAGAAGAGGAAGAAGAAGAGGAAGAAGAAGAAGCAGAAGCAGAAGAAGAAGCAGAAGCAGAAGCAGAAGCAGAAGAAGAAGAAGAAGAAGAAGAAGAAATAATCATCATCATCATCTCAGATAAAGCTTGAAATACCCATCAAAATTGGCAGGGATTTGGGCGGGGTGGAGATTGCTTGCCAAGGTGTGGGGCTGTGGGGCTGGGCTGGGGCAGGGCTCCGTGAGGTGGGATGCGAGGGTGACCGCAGATCTGCCCCAGGGTGAGTCCAGGCAGGTGGCCGGGCCCCCAGTTAGGGCTTTAGGCTCCCTTGACATGGGTCTGAGCCCTGGGAGCTGGGCAGTGGTGCAGGGCTGAAGGGGGGGGGGTGTTTCTGTCTGAGGGTGTGAGCTCTGCCTGCAGGAGTCCTCCCTCTACTCCTCCGGCCTGTCTTAGAGAGCCGGGCTGGGCGGCTCCTCCCTGGGCTAGTCTGTGCCTCTTGCCGGTGAGTTTCCTAATATAGCCTGGCCATTTCCTTCCCCACGGGTGGCCAAGAGCTGCCCTCCTGTTGCAATCTCAGCTTTTCCTGGGCTTAAAGGGACCACGTCAGCCCATCTCGCGCCAAGCAGGAGGAAAAGGGAGACTGATGGATGGCATGTCACCAGCCTGTCCCACCCCGAGATCAGGTCTCGTCCCCGCTGCCTCAGTGTGCCACCGCCTCCTGGCCAGTTTGCTGTCCCCTGTTAGATGTCTTCCTTCCAAGGGGAGGGGAAGGAACACGGCTGGACAGGGGTGTGAGATTTGGCTCCAGGCGGATTCATTAGGCAAGTCCTCTGGGGCGAGTCTCACCAGGAACCTTTCACTACCTCCCTAGACATTTCCACGGGTCTGTCAGCAGGCGGCTAAGCTGGAGGAGGAGGAGGCTCGCTGGGGAGAGCTGCTTGCTCACGCTTCACTCACTCCAGTCACCTTCGCCACACGCTACCTGCCAGCGGGCCAGACGGCGGGAAGGCAGCAGTGGATGGACAGGAACACAAGTCCCACTGCCACGGACTTCCATTGTGGGGGAAGGGCACTGATCACGAAAACCAAGGGGCCAGGGAGACGTTTGCCTGGCACACAGTGGTGGTTACAACACTGGCTTGCAACCCCAGCATCGCAGAGGGTCTCCTGAGCACTGCCAGGAGTGCACCCACTCTGCACCCGAAAGAAACACATGTATGCATATCTCTTTTTTTTTTTTGGCCTTTTGGGTTACACCCGGTGATGCACAGGGGTTACTCCTGGCTCTGCTCTCAGGAATTACCCCTGGCGGTGCTCAGGGGACCATATGGGATGCTGGGAATCGAACCTGGGTCAGTCGCGTGCAAGGCAAACACCCTACCCGCTGTGCTATCGCTCCAGCCCCTGTATGCATATCTTTATGTATACTTATCTTTGTGTAGACATATTCTCAATATGTATATTTTGTGTATGTTGTGCTGGCGCGAGCCACAAGTGAACAGGGGGAGAGAGAAAGAGAGAGAGAGAGAGAGAGAGAGAGAGAGAGAGGGAGGGCGCTTAGGATAGGATAGTGAGTTTATTAGAAGCTCAGCGCTGAGGACCCCAAGTCAGAAGAGAAAGAGACTTGGAGCCCTATTTGCTGAGAGGGTCTCTCTTTTTATCCTCTAAGAGTGGGCTACAGTCTACATATCTTCTTATCAGTGAGACAGGGAATACAGAGATAACTTGCAAAACATGAAACAGTTAAAGCATCTTTTCCCTAGGGTATGACCTTCAGGTGCCCAAAGGAAAACAGTCAGTGACAGTATATCCTGCCCATCTGGTGCCACCCTCGGGTGCTATCTCCGGGCATTCCTGTATATTCCCGTAAATCTGGTGGTCTGGAGGGGGCGTCATAAAAGGCTTCTTCCTCCCTTCTCTTCTTCAACATAAGGTTCAGTTTTCTGTTTTCCAGTCCCCACTACATTTTCTTAGTACACATTATAATTTCATAATTCTTATTACATTCAGTTTCATACATAGCATGACAGTGTACACATATTAGGTGTGCAATGAGGAAAAATAAAGCGGAGAAAGGCAAGACCCCTTGTCCCGAGCAGCTTCGAGGGAGGACCCAGCGCTCAGAGCAGGGCTCGGCCAAACTCGTTCCTCTGCTTCCTTGGCAGACACGCAGACTTCCTCTCCTGTGAACGAGCCTCATCTGATCACACACGCCACCACAGGAGGGTGAGGGTCTGAAGGGAGCCCCCAGCATTGGCCTGAACCTCCACAGAGGGCAAGACTGGGGGGGTGGGGGAGAAAGAGGGGACCCCGAGCTGGAGGGGGATGAGCTGACCTTCGCTGCCAAGGTCACTGATTTCCAGCGGTTCAGTGGAGAACCTTTGAGGGGGTCACATGAGGCCATGCTATTCATGAGCAGGGGACCAGGTCATGGGGAGCACTGTCCCAGGAGATGGGGTTCTGGGCCCTCCAAGGCCACCTGCCAGCCCCCAGTGGAGCTACTCACCAGAGTCCTGGCATTCCCAAGGTGCCAGGCAAATGCCAAGGAGAATCGTCAGAGACGTGACTAGGTCCAACTCCTCAGAGAGCTTCTGTCCTCGCTGGGAGAGAAGGCCCGGAAATGACTGAATGACAGTAGAGAGAGGTGAGAGAGGCCACAGGAAATGAGGTCGACAGACCCCTCAAGGCCCCTGGGCTGCAGTCTCGAACGGGTCTTTGGAGCAGGGCCCAGGGATCTAGGGAAGAGCTGGAGGTGAGGGGACAGTGCCCAGGGCGCCTCCATCAGCAGTCCTTGTCTGGGTAGCTGGTTCCTTGGAGGACCTGGCTGGGAGGGCCGTTGGGGGCATCCTGGCCATCCTGGGCAGGAGCCGGCTCCTGTGCTGACCATCCCTGTCTCCCCAACACATTAATGAGTCCCTGTGCATTAGTGGCCTCTGAGAAGCAGAGAAACTTCGTGCCAAAGGCACAAAGACGAAGATTCGGTGCCTTTTGGGGGTGATGCCGGGAGGGGACCAGGAGCCGTGGAGTGAGAGGGGTAGGGAGCATCAGGCGTGGCTGTGTGGGGCTGCCCGGGGTGGGGGTAATATTGGGGAGAAGGCTGTACTTTCAGGGAGTGTTTCTACAGTCCGTTCCCAGAGAACTTTCCCTGACCATGTGGAGCACCGGAATCCCAGGAGTCACAGTGTCCTCTCCTGAGTGGGCAGCTGGTGTCAGGTGTTGCATTCGCAACTGCCTTTTACCACTGGTGATGGTTCTTCTCTTCCTTTGGGAGAGAGAGAGGAAGAGGATGCAGCCTGAGTGGCTTCTTGGGGGAAAAGGGGAGAGGTGGGGGCTGGGGATGCGTTTTGGGGAGTCAGCAAGACCCAGTGGCAGTTAGGCCAGCACCAAGTGAGGCAGGGAGAAGGTCGGCTATGGAGCCTTGGGGGTGAACGGCACAAAAGAGAGGGTCGGGAGGAGACACGGAAGCGCTTTGATCAGTTCATCTGTGCAGCTCAGTGGCCAGACACCTAACACCACACCACACACTTACCTGCTCACTTAAACCTCACACCACCCTAGTGAGGTAGGAGGCCATTGTTAGCTCCATCGGTATTAGCTCCAGCAGATGAGGAAACTGAGGCACAGAGAGGTGAAGGCACTTGTCTAAGGTCACCAAGTCAGTGAGGCAAGAGGCGGGTTTGGGTTGGCAGCCCGGCTGACTCCTAACTGCCACTCCTTTGCTCCTCAGCCACCCCACGGCCCCTGACGTAGGGTTCATCCCGGGCTCTCACGCGGTTGCTGCCTACACCTCACACTGGCCACCGTCCCCCACACGGGTTAGTTCCACTCCCTGGGTGTTGCTCATTTCAGTCTCAGCACACCATTGCACACTCATTCACACTCAGCACACTCATTCACACCCAATGCACCACCGTACTCATTCACACTCAGCACACCAGCACACTCAATTCACACTCAGCACACTCATTCACACCCAGTGTACCATCACACTCATTCACACTCAGTGTGCCATTGCACTCATTCACACTTAGCACACTCATTCACACCCAATGCACCATTGTGCTCATTCACACTCAGCACACCAGCACACTCAATTCACACTCATTCACACCCAATGCACCATCACTCTAATTCACACTCAGCGCACCATCACACTCTTTCACACCCAGTGCACCATCATACTCATTCACACACTGTCACATACTTATCTCATCAGTGCACTCAGCGTATCATTGCACACTCATTCACAATCAGCACACCATCCACTCATTCATACTCAGCGCACCAGCACAGACATTCACACCCAGCGCACCAGCACACACATTCACACCCAGTGCACCATCTCACACTCCTGAGCACACTTCCCCGTGGCTGTGGCCTTGCTGTTCGTGGTTTCAGTCACCCACAGTTTGAAACTATTACAGACAAGCTATTTTGAGAGAGGCCCGTGTTCACGGAACCTTTATCACAGCGGACTCTGTTTGCCAGGTGGGGCCACCACACCTGGCAGTGCTCAGGGGTCTCTCTCAGCTCTGTACTTGGGGTCACTCTGGTGCTCGGGGGACCATGAGATGCTGGGTGTGAGCCTGGGCCTCCCCTCATGCAGAGCACGTGCCCAGCCCTCTGAGCCCTCCCCGCCCCGTTCTGTCCTAGCCATGGCTATTCATCTCTCCCTGTGCCTCACACACCAGCCGTACTTTGCCACAGGCCTGTGTACAGGAAGAGGCACAGCTGATGCAGCTTGGGGGGGTCATCGGCGGCTTCGGGAATCCACTGGGACTCTGGGGTGTTCTCCGTGGAAAAGGGGGAACACGCTGTCCCTCAGAGTCACTGTCCACACTCCCAGCAGTCTCCTGTGACACGGCCAATCTCCTGTGACACAGTCTTCTGTGACCAGTCTCCTGCTTCCCGACCTTCCCAACACAGCCCCCCAAACCCCCCACCACCCCACATTTACCCGGCTCCACACATTCACCCATTCCTGAGCAGGGATGTTCCCTGGGCCGTCCCCACTGACCAGCCTTGCACACACTCAGCCTCTTTCTCCACAGCCTGGCCAGCTCCTGCAACCTGCCTGGCCAGCAGTCTCGCACCCGCACTCAGTCTTGTCTTTGTGTGGACACGCTGGCCTTGCGTGCTCTCGGAAGCCTGAGGGACACCCGTTGGACATGCTCCAGGCGTCCCTGTCACCCGCCGCGCACATGCTGTCTCACACCCCATGACGGCACACCTGCTGCCTTGCATGCCCCCCCCCCATGCAGACGCTCCCTCCTTGCAGACACATGGTTTCAGAACTGCACCCCTATTCATTCTCTCCTGGGAGTCAAACTCGGTGGGTGCTCCTTTAAATTCACCCTTAAACAGCCTCCCCTGGAAAGGAGGTGGGTGGAGAGAGCGCAGCGTGTGGAGCACATACCTGGCATGCCAGAGGCCCAATTCCATGTTGGCACCGCAGGGACCCCTCCAGCACTGCGAGGTGACGCACCGTAGTAGCACTTAAGTGGATCAGCAAGTCAGTATCGGCTTGTGAATCTAATCCTCGGGACACACCCCACAGAGATTACTGCTGGGCGAGGCTCTCCGCCTATAACGTCATAATAACAGGAAAACAGCCTCATTCAGCTTCATTCAGCCTCACTCTCTCTTGCCCCCAAAGCTCTCAGCGCACTCCCCCACAACCAGCAGTCATCCATGCGCCAGGCAAAGGGTCTGCTCTTGTCCTGTGGGGCCTGCGTAAACCTGGGCGCACACAGCAACCTCTACCTTGCAAAGTGCACTATTACGCTGGGGCCACTCACAGGACATTTTCCCACCGCGGGGCCCACTCACTCCTGGCTTGCCCACACCCATCCATCATCCATCTGCTGCCCACCTACCCACGCATCCATCCATTCACCCATCCCTCCATCTACCACCATCATGTACCCATCATGCATTCACTATCAATTCAGCACCAATCCATCCATCCACTCATCCATCCATCCACCCACCCATCCATCTATCCACTCATCCATCCATCCATCCATCCATCCATCCATCCATCCATCCATCCATCTTTTTATCCTTCCTTCCTTCCTTCCATCCATCCATTCTACTCCCACTCATCCATCGATCCATCCTTCCATATATCCCACTCCCACTCATCCATCCATCCATCTATCCACTCATCCACCCACCCATTCATCTTTCCATCCTTCCTTCCATCCATCCATCCATTCCACTCACACTCATTCATCCTTCCATCCGTCCATCCATCCATCCATCCTTCCTTCCTTCCTTCCATCCATCCATCCACCCACCCACCGACCCACTCATCCATCCATCCATTCATCCATCCATCCATCCATCCATCAATCTATCCACTCATCCATCCATCCATCCATCCATCTTTTTATCCTTCCTTCCTTCCATCCATCCATCCTACTCCCACTCATCCATCGATCCATCCTTCCATCTATCCCACTCCCACTCATCCATCCATCCATCTATCCACTCATCCACCCACCCATTCATCTTTCCATCCTTCCTTCCATCCATCCATCCATTCCACTCACACTCATTCATCCTTCCATCCGTCCATCCATCCATCCTTCCTTCCTTCCTTCCTTCCTTCCATCCATCCACCCACCCACCCACCCACTCATCCATCCATTCATCCATCCATCCATCCATCCATCCATCCACCCACCCACCCATCCGTCCATCCATCCATCCTTCCTTCCTTCCTTCCTTCCATCCATCCACCCACCCACCCACCCACTCATCCATCCATTCATCCATCCATTCATCCATCCATCCACCCACCCACCCACTCATCCATCCATATATCCATCCATCCATCCATCCACCTACCCACCCATCCATCCTTCCATTCATCCATCCATCCATCCATCCATCCACCCACCCACCCACCCATCCATCCTTTCATGCATCCATCCATGCATCCATCCATGCATCCATCCATCCATGCATCCATTCATCCTTCCATCCATTCATCCTTCCATCCATCCATCCTTCCATCCATCCATCCATCCACCCACCCACCCACCCACCCATCGATCCATCCTTCCATCCATCCATCCTTTCATCCATCCATCCATCCATCCATCCATCCATCCATCCATCCATCCATCCATCCATCCACCCACCCACCCATCCATCCATCCATCCCACTCCCACTCACCACCTCCCCCGCTCAGGCAGGGTGCCACAGCCGGCAGCGTGCAGGGATCCATCCCGACGGGACTCCGGGTGGCAGATGGGGTGCCGGGGAGGGGGAAGCCAGGGTGAGCCCGCGTGCCACGTCCCCCGCCCCCCCCGCCCCGCGGCTCCCGTTCCCTGCCCCTGACGCTTGCCGTCCTCTCCCCGCCCCGCAGGCACCTACCAAGGCCAGTTCACCAACGGCATGCGCCACGGCTACGGAGTGCGCCAGAGCGTGCCGTACGGCATGGCCGTGGTGGTGCGCTCGCCGCTGCGCACGTCGCTCTCGTCCCTGCGCAGCGAGCACAGCAACGGCACCCTGTCCCCGGACTCGCCCGCCTCGCCCGCGCCCGACGGCCCCGCGCCGCCCGCGCCCTGCATCCCGCGCGGCGGCTTCGCGCTCAGCCTGCTGGCCGGCCCCGACGCGCGCGCGCCCAAGGGGGGCCTGTTCCAGCGCGGGACGCTGCTCGGCCGGCTGGGGCGCAGCGAGTCCCGCGCGTCGCTGGGCAGCCAGCGCAGCCGGGTCAGCTTCCTCAAGAGCGAGCTGAGCTCGGGCGCCTCGGACGCCGCGTCCACCGGCAGCCTGGCCGAGGGCGCCGAGGGCGCGGACGACGCGGCGGCGCCCTTCGACGCCGACATCGACGCCACCACCACCGAGACCTACCTGGGCGAGTGGAAGAACGACAAGCGCTCGGGCTTCGGCGTGAGCGAGCGCTCCAGCGGCCTCCGCTACGAGGGCGAGTGGCTGGACAACCTGCGCCACGGCTACGGCTGCACCACGCTGCCCGACGGCCGCCGCGAGGAGGGCAAGTACCGCCACAACGCGCTCGTCAAGGGCACCAAGCGCCGCGTGCTGCCGCTCAAGAGCGGCAAGGTCCGGCAGAAGGTGGAGCACGCCGTGGAGGGCGCCCAGCGCGCCGCGGCCATCGCGCGCCAGAAGGCCGAGATCGCCGCCTCCAGGTAGGACGCGCGCCGGGGCGCTGGCGGGAGGGCGCGGCCCGGCCAGGGGTCCCCCAGGACACCCGGGCGGTTTGCTGAGAGGCACGCCGGGCTCTGATGGTCCCTAGCGGCCCCGTGCATGCAGCCCCCTCACTCCACCATC